GCAAGTTGGGGGCAATCCAGGCTGGTGGGGGGGTAGTTGAGGGCAATTAAGCTGGCAGGGGGGGCAGTGAGGGGTGACCAGGCAGGTGAGCGATTAGGAGCCAGCGGTCCAGGATTGTGAGAGGGTGCCTAAATCAGCAGTCGGACATCCCCAAAGGGGTCCTGGATTGGAGAGGGTGCAGGCTGGCTGAGGGGACCCCCCTTCCATGCATTACTTTCGTGCGCTTGGCTTCTAGTATACCGTATAATATATTATTATTATTTCAATCTTGCAGAAAACTGAACCTCAGAGAATTTCTCTAGCTTGCCCAAAGCTGCACATCTAGGAAAGGCTGAATCAGCATGTAAACCAGAGCCTGCACACTTAACCACCACACTATTCCTGGGGTGCTTACCCACAATAGTGGGCTTCAAGATGTGAGGGCAAAAGTTTTGCCATCTGTTTTCTGTTCAACCAACCTGATTTATTTTAGGCTTTATACATTGACAGTGTGTTCATATAAGATCCTATGTTACCAGTCTATTTCAATTAGGGTTGGAGCTTTGTAGCAATGGTGCTCTTTATTCTTAACATGAAATTCTTCTAGCCTAGCAGTGAACTGTGCCCAGACCACAATTCTACCTTTCATTCTATACTTCCAGAAAGTTTTCAAGCAGAGCAGGGATTTAAGCAGTTGTAAACCTCTAAGAGAGTCTCATAGCTGAGGCACTTTGAAAATGAAACCATATTATTTTATTATAGGTTTGGCAAATAAGTTCAAAGTCAATATATACCTAGTCTGGTTTCCAACAGCTTTTAGCCAATGATCACCTACGTGTCTCTAGTCTACATTTGAGTAAGGTGTAAAATGTAATTTGAACAAAGTGGCTTTTATTTTCTCCTTCCAACAATCTAATTTTTCACAACCATGTTGCTGAGCAATTTCACTTGGCTATAATTAAGACCACATTTGCCATACTTGATTTTCTGGTCTCTGATAAACTATATGAATGGAGTATTCAGGTTCTAAACACCCTGAGCACTTAATTCTCTTTACTCCTGGCCTTTTATTTTGCTGCTGGTAAGGGAGGTATTATGCACTAAATGTTTATCTCCCCTAAGTTCACATGTTGAAATACTAATGCCCAATGTGATGGATGGTGATAAGGTCATGATGGTGGAGCTCTCATGAATAGGATTAGTGCCTTTATAAAAGAAACCCTAGAGAGTTCTCTATCTTTCTCTTTCCACTATGTGAGAACACATAAGGCAACCCGGAAAAAAGACCCTCACCAGAACCTGACTATGCTGGTTCCAAAACTGTGAGAAATAGGTGTCTGTTGCTTATTTCACTAATTCTATGATATTTTGTCCCAGGAGCTTGAAATGACTAAGAAAAAAAGCAATGTGCCTTCATTATCTTGGTTTTCCCTGTCCATGACACTTGGATGATGGAGTATGTTCTTACTCTTGTGGGAAAAGATAGACTTCTGCTCAAGAAACAAGAAGAACCAAAGATGATATCCATTGGCAGGCGCTAAAGACATCTTGTGACAGAATTAAATGATAAATATAAACTTTTCAGCA